GTATGCCTCATTGTACATTCTATCCGTATTGTAAGCATTCTAATTATAATATGAAGCTGCATGTTCTCTTTCTTATATCCTCCTCGGTCTAAAAAAGTAGAGCAACTCATAAAAATGTTGATATGAACTAAAGCATCGCTAGTAGTAGAATGGCAATCGGACAAAAACTACGTTGGCTTCAGAAGGTAATGGCAGTTTTTAATTGAGTTTGGGAATTTGAGCAACTCATATCATATATATGTGTATGTCAATTATTATTGTTTGTAGTAAAAACAATGATATTTTTGGAAAGAATGAGTACATTTTTGCGCAGCCCAAATGTCTGAATTGGATTTTCCATTTCCATGCATTCACGAGTAATGTACACTTGATTTGCACAGCCTGAATGTCTAAATTTCACTTCCAAAAGTGTACTAATTGGTGTTCGATTGAAACAGAAATTGTCTGATCATGCTGAATCAGGGACTAATGCTGACACTCTCTTTCCTTGCAGACTTACCTCAAACAACTTGTTCTTCCAGCCTGGAATGTCATAGCAGTGGGTGGATTTGAACAAGCTATCAAGAATTAATTGGAAAGAGCTTGTGTCATTGGCTGTTCCTTGTCTTTAAGAGCTGAATTCATGCAGGTTATTGGTACTCATTGCAAGAACTTATCTGATCTTAAAGTTATGTTCCCTTTTGACATAGATTTTGCAAGGGCCATGCTGCCTATACATCAAAACTTAAGGTCTTTAAAGTCTTCAGAGCATAATGGTGCACAAGGAAGCTTTGGTTTTTATATTGGACAAAATGTAACATCTAGAAGTCCCTCCTTAAAGAGGACTCCGAATCTCCAGACTCCGTTGTCGAACATAAACACCTCGACAAGTCAATCCTTGACCTCACGGCTCAAGACGTTACTTTTTTGTCTGAGAGAGTCCTGCATAATGTGAGGGGCACCATTGCATGGTTGAACTTTGTGAGTGTAATAATGTCTGAACTATAAATGTGGACATGCTGTAAATAAAGTTTGCTTTTGTAGACTATTTCCTTTTCATGCTGCAGATAGCTTGTGTTAAGCCTGAATACGACTATAAAGTACTTTTTTTTTCTGATGAACAAAGCAACCTTAGACATTTTCTGAGCTCCAGAACTTCTGGAACAGAAAGATCATCAATTGTGACCTTAGCTGTCCAAAAATTATACTAGGGTCTAATGTGATTTACGTACTTCTCCGAAGGTGAATACCGTATTCTACAAGAGTCATTTTGATTGTGCCTGGCTAGTACGCAACAGATTGCAAATTCAAGTCATCACTCAATTTGATAATGTTCCTTGATAAGGACATTAATAGTGAATTTTTCCATATAAGTTCAACATCAAAATAACACTGACGTCAGAAGAATCCCTATTTTTCTGTAACAAGTATAGTGATGTTTTGAAATAATTTATCTGCCGTGCATTTCTTTAATCAAAGACAAGGCGGCCAATGGCCATCATTACTAACAAATGTTTGCAGGCAAGAAAAATGGGAAGCAAATAATATTGTCTTCTTTTATTATAAAGGAAGTCAAATTAGGCAGCTGCTGTTTTAATGCTCAAAAGGCCGAAAACATTACTGAGATGTTCTTCTTACAGCCGAATCAAGCTCTCAATTCAGTTTTAAAACAACATGAAGAGGCTTTGAACAAAATGCTTATGGTCAAATAAAGCTCAAACTAAGAAGAAAAAAAAATAAAAGCGCAAGGGGCTTGTAGCTCAAGTGGGTAAGAACTTACGAGCATTAACTTTTGCATTCAAGGTCCGAGGTTTGATTACCCCCTCCCCAATATCATTTGTATAAAAAACGAAACAAAACCAAAGCATACCAAAACTTGTTTTAGATGAGAGGTCATGGGTAGGTGTGTGTGTCTCTCACAACCCTAGCAATAGAGGCCGTAGAGCATGCGTAGGCTTTAGAGCCTGTCCTAATCAAAATATCAAATCTAATTATTCAAGCCCCGTAATAGGGAGAAGAACTTGCATGTCACAAGAATAACACTATTTTGTTATCCTCATCTAATTATGTTATGTTATGTGAAATTCTTATCACGAGTGACGGAACATGATTGGTCGGGGAGAGCCCTGCTATCCCTGTGACATGCAAGTTTTTCACCATAATAGGATCCAAAAGAAGCTATTAAAGAATGTTGTTGCAAAACTAACCTTACCTTTCTCAGGCTGCTGTGAAGCTACTACTAGACCATAGTCTAGGCTTCTAGTCTATCAGATATGGACGCCAAAACAAATGACGGAAGACCATATACTCTTTGCGCCCTAGTCTTGCCTCCAATCAGATGATTGATCTCCGATATTTCGTAGACTTAATCTCTAGAATTGATATATTGATTTATAAATCTAATAGAAAAAGCTCCACTTTGCCATCACGATTTTCGTTTAAGATGCCATGTTTGAAAAAACTTCTTTTAATAAATCATTGTTGGATACTTAACATCTAATATTGCAATAATATAATAGTGTCATCGTATGCGCCGATTATATATTACTTTTCCCTCGTAATGTGTTTTAGATTCCACATACATATCATGAAAAGGAGACTATACAAACATTCTCACCGTCGCCAGCGTTATTAATATGGCATTTATCTTAACATAAATCAGTTAATCATCTTGACTCGAATTGCAAACAATGACAAGAGCATTATTTCTCAGGGTCGGTGCAAGCTGATGACGTTCCAAAGAAAACTATAAAAACTAGAAGACAACATTGTCTTTGAATGGATTCACTTCAACTCAGACACGCCACACTTCGAAAACTTCAAAACCTCATCAGTTTTCTTGTCCACCTAAACTACTATCATGATGGTCAATTAAGTCAGCATTTATACGTAAGTAACTGTCAACTGTTGATGTAACATTATACCTACTATTTTTCCTGTATAAAAAACTCTTACCTAACCTAATTATAATTCATTTTCTCAACCATCCTTAACACTTGCCGGCTTACAACAACAGACCTGTTTTGTTCTAAATTCTCTTTGCATTAATCAACTTTTCATGAATTTTTCCTTTTTGATGGGCCCTATTATTTTGTCATTGGAAGATTGGAAGAATGATGAAGGATCAATGGGAGCCCACATTTGGGTGGTTGTGTTTGTGTGTATGTATGGTACAACTTGTTATAAATAATCCTGCTGGAAGATACTTAATTAGTCATCTGATGGCCATCCTTTGATATCCAATTAGAATTAAATCAATAGCTTAGAAGCCAAAACACGTGATGGTGATGCAGCAAGCAAACCATAAGAACACAGACCGTGGATGCCACATGTCGGTGGGATATTGTACCAAGTGTCTCTAACTGTACCTCAAGTCTTCACCAATAATTACAGCACAAAAAACTATGAACTAAAATCAGCATAGAAAAAAACAATTAATGTTTAAGTCAACTCCCCACAGCCCATCACAAACCGTTTTTCACATTTACACTTCATTGGGTACTAAAAGACCAGATTAGCCTTCAAATTTAAAGAATTAAGTTCAGAAAAAGTACAGAAACATGCATTTGTTTACATATAATCACACTCTCAGAGCTTTCTGCAATGACCTGCAAGGCTGCAACACAAACCATCTTCGATTAGTATAGTTGGAAACAACAGCAATATGCAGAAAACTGCAGAAAGAGACGAGTATTTTTCTAAGTTTGGGCAATTTGGGTATTTTAAAGGATGTTTTCGCAAATATGCAACGAAAATCGGGCATTTATGTCATTTCAGTGGAATTAATTGTGAGTTTTGGCTCTATCTTTCCTAGAGGTTGCCATCCCATATTAAAAGACTTCACGCCTGCTTGCATTTGAGGAATGAGAGAACATACTCAGTTTTCCTAACTTGCTTCCTTTTTCTTTGTAAGAAATACTGAAATTTATCATCTCAAGAATCATGAGAATTCATCATCTCAGAGTCGTATGTGTGATCTTCATGATCATGCTTATGATCAGTCAGGTATCAAGTTATCGTCACATCCACAGAGTGACAGCTAAAGAATCCAAGCAAACAGATAAATCTGAATCCTATTCCAGGTTTTCATGGCATTTCTCCACAGAAGCTCCAGAGGTATCTAGCAGCAGAGATGAGATTGGCCCCCTCAAAGGCGTTTCTCTACGAGAAGTTCCACAGGGACCAAACCCTCTTCACAACTGATCAGCCCTCTTGCAATTAAGTGTGTTACTCTAGTCAGACAAATACTTTTATAAGTTTCTAGTGTAAATCACTTTTTTTTTTTTTGTACTCATAGTCTCATAGATCCAGTTGGGAAAGAATGTGAGCCTCTAGTCTATGAACAAAGTGTAAGTCTGTAAACAGTTTTTGATTGAATGGTAAAAATTTTTATTACACATGTTCTCAAGAGGGGCTGCATTATGTGGTGAATATCTTAGTTGAAGAAACAGATAATATACTGATCTGAATAATCTTGATCTTTTCTTATTCTATCACTAAATAAATATTATAGTTCAAAGAAAAAGTTCAGAACCTACAAAGCAAGTTCTTGTAGAAACTGTTTTCAAAGTAGAAGAGATGACCAGCTAACTTAATTACATCACAAACTAGAAGCATGTGTGTACTTATAAAGCATCTGTAATGCTGTATATAACAAGTCAACATGCAAACACCATCTAATTTATTTTGTCCTGGGTGGTGGGCCACAGTTTTAGCTCTTGTGGAGTATAAAATAGTTGAAACTTAAAATATTCAAAATCTGTTTGCATATTTATGTGTTAGTTTGTTTTTCCATATGAGGTCAAACAATAGATTTGGAAGGATTCTCTGATGTAACTTCCATGTTAGAAGAAAACAAATGGGAAGGTAGAAAATTTTAAGTACATATGCCAATGCAATGTATATAAAATTAGTTTCTTTTATTCATCCTGAAAACACATAGAAGATTAATGTTACAAGCAACCCAGCGCTGTGGAAGTTTGACTGATCAGAATGATATAGATCCCTCACAAAGAATTTTCCTCTAAATGCAGGTGATGATTTCAAATCATACCAGAAATATTATGAATAAAATATACAGATCCTAGTCCTACTGTATGGTATACACTTTTTCCTCTTATGAACTCTAAGGATTGGACTGATTAGATTGCTTGAATTTTGAACAGAGGATTTTTCAAGATGGATTGAGTGCACGGTAGATGGTCCTGACACCAATACATTGCACACTTTTGCATTTAGACAAGATAGACAGAGCTTCCAACCAAATACATACATTATAAGATTTAGTACTCTTCATAGATTTCGTGGTTTAGGCAAATAGGGGAAACAAACGTCAAAGAATTTTCGCTACATAATCTCACTGCCGACTGGATCAACTGAAAAATGAAGCGAAAGTGTTTTCCGAGTGATTTGATCAAACTTAGACTTCCATATCTGCAATTTTGTAAAATTTCCAAATGTTAATGAAATGTCGGTTGACTGCAATGCACACAAATCTAAGAGCTATAATTCCAAAATGTGTCTGCACCTCAAATTAGGCAAGAATCAAACTCTATACTAGCTGGTACAAAAGATTGGGAACACTTAAAAGTTTTCATCATGGACTCTAGATGTTTAGAACTATATTTTTTTCCTTTTTCTTTTTTGGGTTTAGAGTAAGATTTGGATAAGCATGCATTCTATTTAGGTTCATGCCGAAGTTGATGGGGAAAAATAGGATCGAAATAGAAACAAACTACTCACTTCTTTGTACTCTGAGCTTCCCACAAATATCTCAAAAGCGTCAACTACAAAATGTACCAGTGAATGACAGTCAACAAAACAAAGGCAGCATGTATGTGAATCTACATAATGCAAACAAGAACTCACGAGACCGAAATCTGATCACTACTCCATGTGTATACTCCTTGCTGCTGGGATTAAAATTCAGACCTGAAAATCAAATACTAATAAGATATGATACATAATTATTTCGTACCACACATAGGAATTTCTACCATATCATCAGAATAAATATTGTACAAACAGAAACAAGAGCTAAGAGAAAATAAAATATGCTTTGTTTTGCCGTTAATCAGCTTTTAGCTCAAACAAACCTTGAGTAGATTGGACTATTATGGATGGAAATCCCATAATAAGCCTTTCCAAAGAAACCAATGCCTCTTCCACGCGTCCAGATGCATTATCAACCAAGGAAAGAAGAAGCACAAACTCCACACCGAAGTTGAATTCCTGCTTGCAAGAGCAATTAGCTTCCCTTTTGAGAAAGACTTTTAGATCCAAGAAATCACAAACAAAAAGCAAGTGGAAATGTCTAGAACCAAAAGAGTTTAGAAAGTTAGGTTGCAACCAAAGTGGTTCAGAAAAATTAGAACTTAAATGCCAATAAGCAAAGTCGTGTATAGTTTCCAAAGCATTAAAATTCTTTTGAATGCATGCATCTTCATTGCCATAATTAGAAATGAGATATAAAGTATGTGAACTCCTGTGTACTAGACAAAGAATCTAGTATCTGAACTCGAAACAATTTTATTCAATCAGTAAAACCAAATTGGGAAGGATGTTGCTTCCAACCTCTCCTTTGCGGAATATAGGTATGATATCATCTTCTACTTCAGATTCGTAATCCACATTAGTCAATCCCTGTTTATGCACATTACCAATAAGTTGAAAAAAATACTAAACCATTCAAAGGAAAGTTGATAAAGCAGAAACTAAAGAAATGGAAGCCTAAAGCACAGAGTGTCGGTGTTTACATGTCAGGTCATACATGGCAGTAAGGCAATACATGCTCATTGAGTACTCGCAAGTAGAAAGGGTTCTCGTAAAACTTCCCCATGTCTTCTTTTCTCTGGAAACGCATGTAGACAGCATGTGTATACTTGTCAATATTTTCATTCAAGATACGTCCTACAAATGTGATCGAACATATAAGGCCATGTTTTAATGAAAATCAGACAACAGAAAAACGATTAAACTGAAACAAGTATTTGAGTTTCGAAAGTTTGAGACAGCATTGTTTTGACTATTGATTTTATACAAGTAAAGCTCACCTAATGATACAGCAAGAATGCCTCGCATTTGATACTGGGTTGTATAAAGAAAATCCAGCATATCCTTCTCTTCCTCATCAGATAAATCCTCCTTTGCTTTCAGTAGGCATATGTGGTCAACAACCTTTCTGAGTAAAATGGAAACTAGAGAAATGTTATATTGCGCGTGTCAGATTGGGGAACCATATCCAATAAGTATTCAACTAATAAAACGAACTTAAACACAATTAGAAATCTTGCTTTGTGCTTACCATTCACCTCATAACATGAGAAGGATCACATTTTCTGACCACATTAACAACTTAACATAACAACTAATGTAACAAGTAACGCCCATCGGCTACGTCACATGGTTAGCTAAAGTGTTACAAAAATGCAGCATTGCCCCAAATAGAAAATACAAAAGAATGCCACTTTCAGATATGGTAAAGCCAATCTCAAATTTATACAAGTAAAAATGCAAAACCCCCAAATTGGGTAAAATTATATTTAAGTCTGCCTCTTAAATTTATTCATCAAAGAAAATGAAAAAAGTTGGAAGAGCCATGGAACCTTTTCTTCTGCACACTGAGGCTTGAGCTCGGCTCCTCCGTAGCCGAAACTGTCACTCCCCGATTCTTTTTCCTCCCCAACCATGTACTAATCACAACAGCTCCATTCATTCGACATGCTGCACAATAATATATTAAATTGTAGAAAGAAAACAAAATATCATAAAATATTCACTGAATTTAAAGAAATATATATCCAAAGAATGAAATTCGTATTACCGTTAAAAGGGGCACGGCGGGAGATGATTGGTAAACGGCAGTGAGGGTTTGTGAGGCGATTGGGAGAGAGTACGGAGCACTGAGATAGAATGAGCATCTTTCTTGCTTTGCTATCTCTCTGACTCTGAGTGTGATTTTATATTAATCAAAAATAAGGGGGACGATCTCCTCCAGTATAAAATGGGTGGACAAGGAAAAAACACAGAACTTTTAAATTCTGGGTTTTAAATTGGCGCTTAGTTATCCACATTTACCAAAATACCCTCTTGTGTAAATATGAATTCACATTTTCTTAAAATAAGTTTAGTTTACCATAGTGGTAAGCTACTCCCCTCCCCGCACCCCGTCTCATCGTCACCTGTTCGAAACCCAATACTGTCAATATCGATTTGACTCAAAATGAAATTGTGGTCTAGAAAATGTATGAAATGGAAAAAAATAATTATATAAAATGAGTATATATCCAGCTTCAGCCATGGCAAATACTTAGAGCACACTACGTCAAATACAATAGTACAAGAAGGAGCTTCAACGAAACAAAATGGCTTGAAACAGAAAACAAAAACAAAAAAGACATTCAAGTCACAAATTAACAATAAAAACAAGAAGACACAAAAGGAGCTTTTCACTGTCGACAAGTCAGTATAACTCAAATTGTTGGTCGCTTAGTCCCCCCCCCCCCCCCACAG